AGAGAGAGAGAGAGCACAACAGCAGCTCTGTCACGACTGCACAGATATGCAGCGGCGCAGAACTACGTCCGTGGACACGCTCTCTCAGGTGATGTTGTATCAACCATACTTAGCGTAACGGTTTTCGAATGGCTCTTGGTTTCACTTCAGACTTTCGAAGCATAAATTCTTCCGTGCAAGCTTTGATAAAAGCTGTCTCAAGCTTTTTTCGCAACGTAGAGAATCTATATTTGAGGGCAGCAAGAGGCGTGGCTGCGAGATTGGCGAGATCCCAGACAAAAAAAAAGGCAGAGAAGCATGAATAAAAGAGGAGTGTCGGCACTGGCTGAATTACGCAGCCATGGCCGCAACGCCTCCTTTTGTCCTCCGATATGAACTAAGAATCTTCGCAGAAAGGCATTGCACATGTATCTTATATTCTAATTCATTATTTGCGGGTTTACTTATTACTCAAATTTTGCTTGTAAGCGCACCTTAGCTCCAGCAGCCGCAGCCAGCTGATCTGTGACCGACTTAGGTCCACCAATGAAAGATGTACCGGTGTCAGAGATCACTTCGTATGTCTTGGTGGTCTTGTAAGATCCCATGCCAATGGCGGCCATCTGAAAATCGTGACAGATCTTCAGCAACTACCAAAATTCCTACTGTAGTAGTAATTAGTACCTTAAACTGGAAGTAAGTTGCAGAAGAAAGTGGCTGGTAGGCAGTGATTGGCCCACAGTTTTTCGTGTCAATAGCTCCATAAGTGAAAATACCTCCAGGGGCTCCTTCGAGACTTCCACGATGCTCCATCCATACGGTGAACAGCGGCTGGTCCAGGAGTCCTTAAGGATTTCATAGGTCTTGGTATTTGGGTTCAGAGTTGAGAGGTTTTAGTTTGGGAGATGGAAATTCCGCAGCAGCAGAGGATACCTTCACCGGTGTGGCTTTTGAGGCAAGCCATTTTCCGCTTCCATCAAGCTCCACATTGCTCGGACTTACCGACTCGCGCACTCCTTTTTTATTGGTGTTTAGCGGGTCGAGCACTCTGGGAAACAAACTTCTGGATTCAGCGCCTTGAGAAACCCGTAAATGTGTCCCGATTTCTAGGGACGTAGAGGGGGCGCAGTAAAAGGCAACTAGTGCCACGCTACTTTTTTGTGATTTGTTGACTCAGCGTAACCAAAAAAGAGCCGAAGGCAAACTCACCTTGATTGATTGCATTGATAAGAGGAGGCACAACACCGTCGACAGCAAGTGACGTGAAGGCGAGACCGAGGATGCCGGTCCAAGTGGTCTGCAACGAAGAACCGCACCAGCGCTTCCACAGTGCTAATAGAATGCGGTGTCAGGGAGAGTTCAATGAACTTACGTTCTGAAGCTCAGCATGACGATGTGGGCCATCCAAAAGGTGTGTTTATGCGCAACGATAGCTGCTGTTCTTGGATCCGCCGAACTGGAATTTGTTAAGTGCTGAGGCAGAGTTTTATATATTATAATCTATGCATGAATATAATTTAATTTCTTTATCAATGAGCAATAAAGAATTAGGTACATCAACAAATGGGAGGACTGTATAAGACCTAAATAGGTCTGAGCCTTCTTAATGGCAAAGTCCACGCTATGTACGGGGATCAGATGTGCTGTCATCGCTGACTCTGCCTCTCCAATGCATTAGAAATGAGAGGAGCTCCAATGACGAAGCCAGTCAGGTCTGTCTCCCCATACGATAGCCAGGCACAATATCAGGCCTGTCTCCGCCCATACGATTAGCGTGGACTCTGCCTTGTAATGTCCTAGATCGGTCCTACCTTGACAGTATCGGTACCAAGCACTCCCTTAGCATCACCAGATCCATAAGTGATTGTCCACGCGGTTGTGCTCGACACAAAGGTACTTGAGGAACCCGCGACGAATTTGGCCTTCTTATTGCAGGAAGTGCTGAAATCAATGTTCTCAGCAACAGTTTAAACCCTCAGAGGTCTCATTCAGTCTTCATGACGACAAATGACGTCATTAGGGATTATTAAGTGCAAATAGTGCTGGGCGCTTAGTCATCACTGATATGAACAAAATTTCACAGTGGTGATTCACAAGTAATTTGAGAACGCTGGACTGTAAGAACCGAGAGGAAGGCAGCCGAAAGTGGAAAGATAGAACCTGGAGCAAAGAGAGTGACTAACGCTAAGGAGAAGGTGGAGAAGAGAAGCCGATGTACGAAATATGGAATTGTTTACAGTCTCGTTCGCTGCAGATGGTGTCAGCAGGGAGGAGAACGCGGTTTGGCGCGACTCTGGCCCATTTACCAGCAATTGGTCGCTGCCAGTTTCCCCAGTTGTGGGAGAACAAGCGGCGCCGCCCTCAGCTGCTGACAGCGTCTGCAACTGAAACGACTGTAAGATTTCACGTGAATCACCGAAAATTGCAGCATAAAGGATTAAGCGTGCATGTTTTACCACAATGTGTCCGAAGGGATCGCTGATTCCCGTAGGTTCCCCCTTCCACATTCTAACACGATAAAGAAAAAGAGCGCACCAATAAAGGAAGCGCAGCGGTTGTGAGTCCCCGCCCATAAACTTATCGCGGAATGTGATCTAAAATTCTGAAGGACTCACTCGCAAGCGGTCTCTGGTACCCAGAGATTGGCTGAGCCAGTATCGAGCACGACGACAAACTGCTGGTTGGGTGTGCCGATGGTGATGTTACCAACGTACTCGTAGTCTCCATAATCGGATACCTGAAACAGCGGCTCTGGTGCTGACGTGATTTATATGCTTCTACCCTGGGCAATCTCTGGGTTCTCTGTGCGCTGAAAGCAACTGTCTTGTGAGAACTTCAAGGTTCATGTAAT